CAGGCACCAGGTGCCATTGTAAATAGTGCATGCTGCGACGTCCAGCTTGTGCCGCTCATCCCGTGGTCGTAGTACCAGATGTCTTATATCCGGAACTAAAGCTGTGCAATCCTGCCCAGATGCGCAGCAATAGCTGCACTCCATGTACTGCCGTTAGAGCCTTGAAAACACGAGTAGGTGGAAAGCCAGGCATGCAGATTTATCTTGCGAATTCTCTAGCGTATGCCAATCTTGCGCCTGCAATTTGCTAATCGGAGGGTAGTTGTTTAACAGTAATGCCCTTCAGGTGTCGCATCCGTTTCGCCCTCCATTGATACGACTGTCACTCGCATGCGGCGGAGGGAAGTATTGTGACATGTGACGTGATAGCGCGATGGAGAGCCCACCCCGAAGTCGTCTCCGGATAGCTGGACCTCAAGCTGACAGAATTGATGATGCAGACATCACGTTGACTTCGACTCGCTGGAGGATGCTCTTCGCGCAGTATCGACGCTGAATCCGGACCGGTACTTTTCCGTGGCTTCTTTGTTGAGACGCTGGAACCTTCGATCCATTCGTGCGCGAAAGTGTCAATCGCGATCTTTCGGTGTCGCGCGTGACGGTGAGCGAGCGCTGCAAAAAAGAGCTGGGATGCGAGACCTAGGTACGCACGGCTGCTCCAGATTGTCGGAGATGCGGATGCCGAAGCGCCGGGCGGGGTCTCATGTTCCATCGCTGAGGCCGCGTCCACGGTCCATCGCAACACCTTCATCAAGTGCATCACGATTCGTACGATACATTGTTCAGAGCTGGTTTTTCGATTTCAATATCGCATGCGCCATGGTTTCTGAACTGCCCTCTACTTCCTTCGTGGTTACTGACGGTGACGGCAAGCACGGCGCTGCTCCAGCATGAATGCCCACGCTTGTCCCTTCTAGATGCTACTGAGCATAAAGGGGTAGAGACGATGGGGCTCACAGTTCATCGCGCGTAAGAGGACGACTACTCAAGCGCATGTATCATGGCTGTGCAAAGCTTGTTGGTGTTGAACGAGCAAACGAGGAGGAACCATCCATCGACCGAAGACCGAGTAACCGGGACGATGATGTGCCAAGCCCTATAAAACACGAGGAACCAACTGGATACCGCTAAGAAATCAATTTTTAGCGACTGATAATTAGTCGGACTTCTTGATGCCTTGACAACTCACCGTGTCTCTGCGGTGCGGTGGCCTAAAGTTCCTCCGCAGAGTGCGTCAAAACGTCAGCATGGCGCTGGCGGTATGCCTCTGAGGTCCACAAAGCTCGGCGGAACAACAGTCGAATCCACAAGCATACTGCTACCGCAGGTTTTATTACTGGCGCTGTCGCGAATGGCGCATCATTTACTGTATGCTTGGCATACTCGGTGTTGTCTTTCGCGGCTATCGTGTCGCGCGAACCTGTGTCCAACATACTTGACTGGCCCAAACCACCACATCACCTACGTAGATGATCGGAGGATGTGGTTGAAGATGCGGATACACGCAAACACATCCGGTGAAGTATGTTCCATCACCGACATCTGCTCAGCCCACAGCCCATGACACACCCAATCATACCCACATTCGGAAGTCTTGGCTACCGAGGCGATGCCGCTAAACCTATCCCGGGGCAATCCGCGAAACAATGATGACTTAGAACGTGGCTTGCAAGAGAAGGCTTCCTGCATAAGCCCGTCAGATTTCGCATCCTTGGCTATTATAGGACTAGCAAACGGGTCGTTGAGATACGCGTAGCCCGCACTGCCTCAGGCTGGGGCTATATTTGCGCCATGTATGGATTCGGTGCATGGTGCGAAACACCATCTTACCTACATCTCTGACTGTTGGCTATAAGGTAAGGGATCACCCGTCGTTTAACAGGTCATCATCACAAACCACCGCATCTACCTCCATCTTCTCCAGAGATCACTTATCTCGATCGCTCTCGGAGTATTCCACCCCTATCGCAACGACCTTCCAGCTCCCAAGAACCCCTTGACGATGCCCGAACAAGTAGCTGTCCCTCAGTGGTGCGTCGAAGTTGGCCCCGAATGTCCCGTAGAGGGTACACTATACGGCTACTACCCCAGCATCGAAGCCAATGCTTTCTTCGCGGCGTTCTTCGGCCTCTGCCTGGTTATCAATCTGGTGCTGGGTATTCGATACAAGACGTGGACCTACATGGTAAGTTGTGCCTCGACTTGGGAGGACGCATCTAACACTCGATAGATTGCTCTCTGTCTAGGCTGCTTGGGCGAGCTCGTCGGATACATCGGACGCATCCTCCTGTACAACAACCCTTACGACGAGACCGGCTTCCAGATGCAGATCTGCTGCTTGATCATCTCCCCCGCCTTCGTTTCGGCTGGAATATACGTCACGCTCAAGCACATCGTCATTAACTTCGGACAATCGTGGTCACGCTTGTCGCCGGTGTGGTACACGCGCATCTTCATCACTGGTGACGTCTTCTCGCTCGTTCTCCAGGGTGCCGGCGGTGGCATTGCTGCTACAGCAGATAGCGGCTCGGACTTGCAGGATCTCGGAACAAATCTCATGGTGGCCGGTGTCGTCCTCCAGGTCGTCGTTCTGTCCATCTTCGGCGCCCTTCTCGTCGAGTACACCATCCGCACCTACCACCGCCGCGATCAACTCTCTTCTGGAGCAATGACACTCTTCCGCAAGACATCGTTCCGATGCTTCATCTTCGCCATCATAGTCGGTTTCTTGGGTATCTACATTCGATGCATCTACCGTATCCCGGAACTCACCGATGGCTGGGGTAGCGAGCTCATGCGCGACGAGACGGACTTTATCATCTTGGAAGGTGCCATGATCGTCATGAGTGTGTTGGTGCTTACCGTGTTCCATCCTGGGTACTGCTTCCCAGCGCTTGGTAACACGATTGGCAAGAACAGGGCGAGTCGGGGCAAGAGTATGGACACCACATCATCGGATAACGATATGGTATTAGGTCAGGTTTAGATACCCTAAGTCTCTAGATTACGGGTTTGCGCTTATAATGGGCCATGGCATAGCGTTTTCTTTTGTCAGTTTGGGACCTTAGACCTGGATACATAGAGTGAAGGATATACCGAGGGAATTTCTTATGTCGAGCAAGGGGTCCAGGAGCTTATGAGGCGTACTCGCCCGTTGCTAGTATCGCATTTCATCTTACACTACAAATCACCTCATCGCGTTCCCACATCTTTGACACTTATTCTCGCGTACAAAGTTCGTTACGATGTTCACTGCCTAGACCCCGCAGATGGACCCCGCCCAGCCTGACCAGGAAGCATGCTCTCTAGTTGAGGCACAGCTGGATAAATAGTACCTGGACTTCATATGCAGCTGTCGCTGGCGACAGATTGGCGGGCGGCGCCGGAGGCCGAGATTTCGGCGGAGGGCGAACCGAGGTGGATCCAAGATGAGGCTACCTTGTTGTGGGTATGCGATTTGCGAAATCCATGGCCTTTGGAGGTCTGGCTCGTACCCTTTTCGTGAAGGTGTTTCGGCATGTGCACTCCGTTGGCGAATCGGCAAGGCTGGCAGTATCATCGTAGCTCAGACTTTTTCGTTTTTGAAGCCGTGGCTGAGGCAACTCGTTACGAGAATCACGTGTTGAAGTATTCGGATTTTGCTCTCATCAGATATGGTCCGTTTATGCAACGGCAGTTGCAGGAGGGAAAGTTTGTCGACATATAGTTAGTAAAGCCGTGCGCATAACACATCAGTCGCCCTGTTTTCAGAATGCTGACTGTGGACTCGAAAAAATGAGGCGGTTCGGCCTGAAACTCCGGACCTTGCATGGCAAGCAAAAGAGGACGCACGAATGTCGCAGTGCTACAGGCACCCGCTCCCGTTGATGGTGTTGCGATCTTCGTGCAATACCACGACAACCAACGCATGTCGATTCCACCCAACTTGCCGATGCATGTAGCCAGTAGCATCCGTCGGACATTTTTTGCAACGCGATGTGGTCTAGGCTCCGGATTTGCCATCGTGGCACCTCGAAGTAATCCTGGAGTTCAGTCTGCCCAGTGACGTCAATCACGCATGTTGTATTTGAACCTCCTCCGCCAACTCTTCCGAGGCGCAATGCGATTTTGCCTTTCTTCTCAATGTACGGTCGGCGACATGAAGAGCCCACCAGGCAGGACCAGTGGCGACGCTGCTCTACCGACCTGACTGCCGCGCCCGCTGGCGTATATGCATGGTATGCCTACTAAGGTCAAGAGAAGGTTGTTTGGGAGACGCTGTGGATGGCACGACGTCACACCTCGATGCGAGATATTTCTCGGCTGCAATGGACCAGTCTAGCAGTCAGCACGACCACGCACCGCCACCTCCACTCCACCACACCTGTCGCTGCACGCCGTCCAATCATGACCAGTCTTCACCCACACCTCAGGCGGTCGTTTGAGGCTCTTGAAGGGTTGGGGAGCCTGGAACCCCGTTGAATGCTAGCGAGTAAATACATCTGGACCCGAACCGCCGCACGTGTGCCGCCGAAGCTAGCCAATCTATCCGTCTGGAACGTAGCCTCGGTTTCCACCCTCATGCACTTTTCTCCCTCGCCTCTTTTTCATAGTAACAGATTTCGATGTCTTATTCTGGACCGGTCTTTACAGCACGTGAGATGGTGCGCCATAGCGTCTCATTGGTCAGGAGAGCATTCCCGGACGAAGCTTGCTGTCGGCCTTTTGTACCGAGCTTTCGATCAAATTCGATCTTGGTCGCAAATGCGATCTGTTCAAATATTCCAAGGCGAGGAACCTGTGGCGTCCGCGACCGGTTTATCTGTGCAACAGGAAGTGGCGAACCGCTGCAGATGTGTACAGGTTGGAGAAGCGCAACTCCAGAGCGCGAGGCGAGCCCAACAACACGGCCTGCTGAACACGCTCACGCATCCGACATTGCCTAGGCTCCACCGGCTCCACAAGCGACTCTGGCATCTCTGAGCACCGGGAATCTCGCCCACTACATCGACATTCACGGTATGGATCACTCGGAGCGATGGCAAAGCATTGCACCAGCCTCAGATGAGCCGGGCCAGCGACGCCCAACCTCAGACCGGCGGAAGAAGCGACAGGCTGTTGCCGTGGCGTGCGTGCAGTGCCGGAATGGGAAGGCCAAGGTACGTAGGACCGAGTTACACGCAATAGCAATGCCCTGGACCATCCCAAGGTATTTCGCTCAGCTATCAGGCACTATGCCATGCTACAGCCCTGCGAGGCACTGAAGGATACTTCCAAATACTCAAGGCCCATGCATCCCTGATTTGCGCTCTTCTATAGGTACTCACATCATGTGACACTACCTGTACGTAGGCCTTTTGTAGCTTTCATTGGCCCCGCGGACTGTGCTGATTGCTTATTCGCAGTGTGACGGCACCAGACCCCGATGCAATCGATGCAAGGAGAACGACCTATCATGTCAATACGACGTCGCCGAAGGTGTCTCGCGAGCCGAGCGGATGAAGATTATGAAGAGAGACAGCATGACTGGCGAGCTGGATGACCTGAAGCGCATCGTTACCTCGCTACGCTCCGGGACCGACGACCAGGCCGCCGCTGTCCTCGCTCGATTAAGGCTCGGTGAAGCACCTGAAGAGGTCGCAAAGACCCTCCCAATGACAGTATCCCCGGCGATATCCGGCCAACCTCCCAGGTATGCATCACTCGACAGCTTCCTCTGGCTACAACAAGTTTATAACTCTGGTTCAGCTTACTGGGTCAGGAGTCCACGGACACCTCTGGAAGCGGTATGAGCCACGAATCGGCATTTGACACGAGTAAAGGCGCCTCACAGTTTCGAAAAGGCTCCAATATCTCCATGGCGTCACCCACCAGCCAGAACAGAGGCTGGTCACCTTCAGCACCTTCATCAACGTTTGCGTCGGGCAAGGGAAAACAAGCAGCAACGGCAGATGGAGCGAACGATCATCCCTTCCTAGTCCCGCTGTTCGATCGAGAGGACTATCTCCTAACGAGGGACGAGGCTGGGGAAGAGAGTGAAGAGGAAGATAGGCTTCAGGAAAGCCAGATTGACCCACGACTTCTGCAGCAAGGAACGAGCTTCGACGGAGTCGGGAACGCGGCACCGTCATCGAAACCATCTCGGAGCCAACGGCCCTCACCGCACAGACAAAACACTATACGCTCGGCATACCCTACGCATCTCACTGATCGACAACCGATCGTAAACACCATCAGGATACACCCAAATCTCAACCTCCGCAACCTCTTCGGCAACATGCCATTCTCCAGTAGCATCCGAAGTAACCACTATCCGGGCGACATTCAAGAGACGCAAATCACCAACTTGTTTCTACCCACATGGTCCATGTTACCCATAAACACAATACCGGACCCGGGTTCATTAAAACGCGCATTCCCTGGCATCTACGAACAAGCCACAACACTCATGAACATGGGCATACCCGCCGACCAAATCATCGAAACCCACCCCAACATCGCCGCACTCTGGGACGAAGACATATACAACAACTCCGGCATACTCACCAAATGGGCAGTCGGCATGGTGCACGGCGTATACATGAAGGGTACATCTCCATGTATACGCCGTGCAC